CCTGTCGGATCATGTTAGACCGGGCAGGCAAGCCTCCTTGACAAATAGTGCAGTCTGAAGCTTCTGGCGGGGTTTCTGGCCAAGCACCCTTGGAGGGTTAGGGTTAACGTTAACCCTTCTCAATCCTCGAAAATCCTTTGGGTAGTTTTGGAGGATTTTGGAGGATTGAGGGTGAATGGCAAAAGTGCAGTGAAGGATGTCACGCGTGAAGGTCATGGATTAGACCTTGTGTTGTTTTTGCTAAGTCAAGCACAAATTCAGCCCGATATTTCTTTTGACTCAACCATACTGCTCAAGAATGCCATTCGCACTGCCTCAACATAATGAGAGGAATTGCTAGAGGATTTTGAAGGACTGAGGCAGCAGGCACACCTCCAGAAAACATTTTCAACAAATTTTGGAGGATTGAGGCTGAATGCAATTTTTTCATGTCGAAAATCAGAGGATTGGGGAGGACTGAGGATGGTTCCTAATAAGGCCGAGGGGGGTTTCATATCAAATAATTAACCCAGATGGGGGCCCACCTGTTGATAAATGGCCCCCAAAATTCATGGAGGTTTCATGAATGGAGACGGAGATGGATCGTAAAGTGACGAAAGGGAAGACGATAATATTTCGGAGATTTCCTTGTAAACTTAAAAAGTCGGCGTTTTCTGTTGAAAAGTGCAACGTCGATTACTACTGTTGGCAAGTGCTTGAGAGCCCTAACGATGCAGATGTGATTGGAATGAACTCATGAAACGTTTGACCCCCCTCCCAGGCGTGATCCTGCGGGACTCCCACGGTGTGGCCCAGGTGCGCTTCGTAACAGGCAACAAGATTCTGCGCATCCTCAAGGCCAAGGGCCTGGCTCCTTCCCTCCCTGAGGACCTCTACTGCCTCATCAAGAAGGCGGTGGCCGTGCGAAGACACTTGGAGAGGAACCGAAAGGTAGAGGGAAGCCTAGCAAGGTTCATTTTGCTTTGGGGGCAATTTGTAAATCGTCAGTTTGGCGCTAAAAGGTTCTTGCGGCGGGAGATAAATTTTTGAAAATCCTCTCGGGACCTTACTCTGGGCATGAAGGACATGTTTTATTGAAATAGAAAATGTTCCAGCCTATTTTGTTCATGAAACTAATTTTTTGTGGCTAACACGTTTACATTTCTCCTAATCTTGCCCAGTTTCACGTTTAAATGATAAAAATCAGACACAAAGAAATGTGGGAAAAAAAAACATCCTCGGCATCTGTGTTGACATGTAAACAAGGCTCGCCCCCACGGTGGCGCTCTTCAAAAAGGAGAGTGCTGGACAACCCGCCATGTATGTCGTATAAAAAAAAGTCTAGAATCTCAAGGTCCTGTATCGTCTAAAAGCCACCAGCGGCCGTCTTAATGAGTACCAAGGTGATCATTGGGTGGCTTGCTGTTGTAACTGTTCTTGCCATGAACGGTTTGATTGATTGATGGAAATCCAACTCTTTTATTGTGCCTCCAGGACAAGGATTCCAAATTCCGTCTGATCCTGATCGAGAGTCGCATCCACCGACTGGCTCGGTACTACAAGGCCAAGCGAATCCTCTCGCCCAACTGGAAATAGTGAGTGCCCCCTCGCCTGATCACAGTCATCTCCATTCGCTGACTGGATAGCGCGTTTCCCATAATGCCAAGCACACAGAAACGAAGCCTCTGCGGCTCAAGTTTTGGCCCTCCAAAGATAGCTGCCCACTTATTCCCTGTGATGTAACACGCTGCAATTTTTACCAAGTTTTTGAGCAGCATCAAACTACTGAGAAGTAACTAAATAATTCACAGAGACACGGAAAGTGTTTATCTCGTAACCCCGGGTGTAAATATAAGTAAACTCACACAACAGCCTGCTGTGACTAAGATTTTGAGTCTCCTGATGAGGCCATCTTGCAGGGCAGTTCTTTTGTTCCACAGGGAACCCTCCTTTGTGAAACAAAAGCACTGGCCCTCAAGATGGCAGCCATGCAAACCCTCTATAATGCACATTTTGGGTCTCCTATGATGGTGCTTGGTTGCGTCTAGCCATTTGGTCTTGACATGCTCTCCAGTCAGTATTCAGAGATCTGTGCCTTAGTGATGGCCACTCTTACAAAGGTCCCTCTAAGCTCTAAATTTTTTGAGGAGTTGACATGTCTGAGTCCTGACTTTAGTCACTGTGGTCAAATCTTGGTTAGGTCAAGGATCAAGTCATGGGTGCAGTCTGTAGTAACTGGTCAAGTCCAGAGGCAATCTAGGGTGCTGAGTCACTGTTGTCCAGTCAAGGGTCGAATCCTCTATCCTGTCTGTAGTGAACGGTCAAGTCAAGGGCCAAATCCTGAGTCCAGTCTCCGATCACACCAGTCAACCCAAGTCTCGAGCCAAATCTCGCGGCATGTCTGTGATCACCCTGAGGAGGTTAAAGGTCAAATCCTTCATCCCGTCTGTCCGTAGTGTCTGGTCAAGCGGAGGGTCAAATCCTGGGTCCCATCTCTGATCACACCAGTAAACCCAAGTCTGGGGCCAAATTTGGGCATATCTGTGATTGCCATCAGGAGGTCAAGGGTCAATCCTGGGTCAGGGCTGTTACCCCACCATTCAATCTTCCTTTGAATCCCTCGGCTGGGCGCTTCAAAACCTGTGAATATTACAGGATAATCACAATCTATTGCACCCTTTTTTTCTCCGTGAATCTATAAGACGTCTGTTACTTGCTCATCAATTCCACCCGAGTGTCTTCTATTTTTCCCACCCACGTGCCATTTCCCTCCCCTCCCCCCTTCCCTTACTCATAATTTGATTTCCTGTTTCCCTCCCTCGCCCCTCGCGCCCACCGTACTGTACCCGTAGCCCACCTGGCCTGGTTGGCGGGTGTCTCCCACTTCCCCTCTAAATGCTCGCTCTTGTTTGTTGTTTTTCCCCCCCGTCTTACTTTTCCAGTGAGTCATCCACAGCGTCGGCCCTGGTGGCGTAAGCCGCGCCGCGTCAGAGCCGTTCGGGGTACTTCATGCGGGACGGTCGCTTCAGCAAGAAATTCATTAACATCCAGCCAGTTGTTGTAAACTGTATGATGTGAAGAAGACATTGTTTTGGGGTTTCAGTTGAAAAATAAACAAAAGAAGGCTCTGTTTTCAGTTGTAGAGAATTCCAGTTCTTATGTTTATTGTGATTATTTGGTGTGGAAATATTTGAGGAGGTGTTTTGGCAAGCAAGAAAATGAACCTTATTGAACTACCTTTGAGTTAATCTTTTTAATTTACCCAGCGTAGTTTCTTGAAAAACTTTGTCGCGGAAGTAACGCAGAAATTTTGCATTCAATGCATTTTATTGCAAAAATGATCATTTCCGAAGGTTGTGAATCCTTGGATGGAGGCCGGCAAGTACCATCGTACACTTCTGATTTTGACGGTCTTCTTTGTGATATTCAGTACTTTACATGACTTTACATGATTAATGACCTCCACGTATTAACAAGAGAGGGCGCTTTACATCCCAGCAACTGCGCACGACGCGTGGAGCAAAAACACTGGGTGTGCACAGTGGTGGGTGCATCTCTAGTGTTTGGGTTTGCACAAGTTTTCATGTGAATGTGCACAAACTGTCTGGTTCCCAGGCACTCAACACAGTTATCTTTTAACATGTCAGCCTGTTTTGTGCTCATCTGTAAATGGGTACTGAAACAGTTTTCACAATGGCATTTAAAATTTAAAGAAATAGACCAAGTAATGAAAATATGGGTTATTGCCGTTTTCTGTGCAAGCCTTTGGAAGTACGCAAGATACATGTAGGCCTACGTGTACTTGGACAGTCTTGGTTCAAAGTGTAGTGGTTCTCCATGTCTGCACTGTCGTCAGACACCTGTTTGGGAAGAGAGGTTTGCTTTGGGGGGGGGAGAATTGCAAAGTCACCTCAGTGTTTGAGTTCAGACTTCCGGTTTCGGGTCAAGACAGTTTCCTGTTCGAGTCATGGAAGACTCTTGTTGCCCTAGCTACACTGTTATGGCAACGCCAGCCCCTGTGCACTCGGCAGCGGCCCAGGTGGTGACATTTTCTTTAAATGCGTGGAACGTCTTGCCCACAGACTTCGTTGCAAGTCTTGAGTAGTCGACGACCATTTCATGCTTCTTGTTTCCCCTTTAATAACGCAGTCAGTTGTACAGTACATGTTGTGTATTACTGCAGTGGCACAACCGTACGCGCGTGGACAGGTGGAACGCGCGCGTTACATTCCTCCTCGACCAATGGGGTGTCGCGATTTGCCAAAATGCACGCGCGCGTCTAGCTGAAGAATGTGCGTGTGAGTGCGGGGCCGCAGTTATGGCGTCTAATCGGATTAGTCTATAGCAACAAAAACGGACGATGCATGGCAAAGTTGGCTCTTTGAAAGGTGTAATTTCCGCCAATACAGTACAGTCTTCCGTTTATATACATGTAATGGGGAAACTGTGAGGTGCCATGTCTGTGGTCTTCATTGTTTTTATTCCTCAAAATACAAGGTTCCTGTTCTTTCAAGGTAATCTGCCAAGTCCAAAGGACCTCTTGTTAACGAGGTTCGACTATTCGACGCTTCATCTTCCATTTCACCATCGGTGTTTATGACGATCCCATTCCAATTTGCACAATCCATTTTCATTCAATTTGCTCCTGTCGTCAGCGTTTCAGAGTTACCCCTAAGTCCTTCCACACCCGCTATGCTACAGCGTCGCTGCCCCTTGTACACAGATTACGATTTTTTAAAAACAAAATGAGGCTTATTGATGAAAATCGTATTGCGTGCACACGAGGCACGTTTGCCGTATCAGGACCACAAAAGGTTTGAGGGCGCTACACAGATTCCGAAAGACTAGCGCCGCCAGGCATTTTATGAGTTCCCTTCCCGTTTGGTCGGGTCAGTCGGCTGAACTGACGGGCACCAGCTTCCTGAAATTGCCACTTAATTTTACTCGGAGCGAACAGTATAATATGATCTTGTAAGATCATGTTTTGTTGGGTTTTTGTCCTTATCTTGTCTAACATCTAACACCTGAAAAAATATCAGACCAATTAAGGGGTTTCTTTCCGAGGCCTTGGTCTCGCGATTTCTACGACACTATCGTTATTTTTTTTCTCACATCTTCAGGAATGCATATGAAGAAGCCTGAAACTTAAATTTGAAACATGTATCCAATCTTGCAACTTTGATATCATAAAACATCCGTCGGGCCAAGCCCTCAGCGCGTGAGCGGAAACAATAATGACATTGATTTTTAAGGTCATGAGTTATCTCTGCCCAGCAAGGAGCGGCTATTTTATGAGTCAGTTTCCGCTGGAGTTTCAGCCCTTGTTTGGCACTGCGTGCGCCTTGTCTGAAGTCATCTGGAAATGTGGCGAGCCACTTTGCGTACGGATCCCTCGTGTCCTAGAATTGTACGCCGTCTTAATGAATCAAGCAAACCAAGTTATGAGACGATCCCTTGAGGAGAACCGACAACCGCCAATTTAATTTCACATCAGAAGCAGAGTATAACAAGAGACTGATGGAAACCGCTGAGAACCAGTTACATACCAAAAGCACTACTTCTTGGCTGGTAACCGGTTTTGCAGTGCAGGCAAACAGTTCTCCGTGTGTAAGCATTTTGTGTGGATTTTAGCATTTAGAATGTGACTACTCTAGCTCACCAGTAGCTTTTACTCAGCAAATAATTTACTGAGTGTTTCCTTTCAGCTAAAAGCCGCTTCGTGAAATAAGCCTTTTGCGAGTTAAATTGAATAAAATCTGGTACACTGAAGTCTTCAAATTCATGTGAACATAACGACTTAAACTTTCCATATACTAAAGACAATGTTGCTATACCTTGCGATTCGGGGCAAGCTCTTGCTTAGTTACGTAAGAGACGCCTTACCTCAATACACTGTTTTCAATGGATAAGAAGGGCACAAAGGAACCAGTCCATTCCAGAGATGCCCCGAATCACGAGGTATAGCAACACGCGTCTTTAGTCTGGGGAATTCAAATTGTTATATTTATGTGCTATCAGATGACTGAGTGTACCAGATTTTATTCAAATTTAACTCGCAAAGGGCTCATTTAAGAAGTCTCCGTTGTTTGGAAATGTCACCTACATAGACAGATTTCTCGCTTCTGATGAGCAGGAAATGTTACACTAAGCAGATGTTAGTCTTGATCACAGATGATCACGCACAATTCGGCTTCGATTTGGAGAATTCAGTTTCGTCTTTTATGTTGCAGATTCAGGAACAAATAAGTTTTTCCCCCATGGTAAAAAAATACCCGCTTGGGTGATTCCAATTTTGCAAAGCTGCGACAGAAGCTACTGAGAACTGGTTCTTTAGCGTGATAGCACGAACCTTTAAGCCGGAAAGTGAGGAGATGTACAGTATACCGCGAGTGTTCGAGTTGTCCAAGGATAAGATGGCATGGTCCCGGCCCCTCGCGTGGACGGTGTGGGCAGTTGAAGATAATTCCAAACAGGCGACGGAAGAATCGCGTGGTGTTATCGCAGTGACATTTTTCCCACTAGCCCTAGTAAAATGACACATCGGCATGAAGTCACGGATGGGGGAAATCGACACCCAGACTTGGCAAGCTGTCCGCCTGCTTGTGTCTGTGCTCGTAGCTGAGGACTCTGCCAGCTACCCCCTGGAGTCCACACTTCATTCTTATCTCATCCACCCCCGACTCCGCCCACACAATAAGCTTTCCAAACCCATCAAACTAGTACCATGAGACCACTAACCGTCATCCAATCAAACTATCATGTACACACAGAGGCTGTACTCACTTCCTGTTGGTACCTCAGACACGGTATTCCTAGTTCCCACAAACCCTTTAAAGTATTACTTAAAGTCAAAAAGTTTTTAAACAATATTTATGATCAAAACTTGACTAACAGAAATGTAGCTGATAAACATTTCACAGACACTTGTTATTAATATTATGGCTGTGTAAATTTTGTGCAAATCAGTGTCTGAACAAGCCACGATTCTAATGAAGTAAAAAAAAAACACCGTATAGTAATTTCTAATCGCAGAAACTTGTCAACGTTGATACACCTACATACATATACATATAGACCTGTTTTACTTGAGCGTACTGAGTGACTAGTTTACTGCTTTAAGTCTGTGCTTAGAGTGAAAACCGTGGACAAACGACTATTGTGAAACGGCATCGACCTGCGTTCACGTGGCTTTGCATAACTTAAAATGTCGCAGTTCAATGCACAGCGAGCTAAGCCACACGTAGTAAACAGCTATCGTACGTAGATAGCACACAGTATGTTCCAGAGGGAATTTATGAACCAAGCATATCCCATTTTTACGGCCATTTGCGTACATAATCAGGGCCCTGAGAATCATCGCACCAGAGGCAAGCAGCTGCTCCATTTCATGAAATTTACGTCTTATGTTCACTTTTTGGAAATAAAAATACCTGCCCAAAATATGTTCATGGTAAGATGTGGCCTTTTCCTAAAGTATTTTTGAAAATAAAATTGAGAAATAGTTCTCGAATGGTCAAAACTAGTGATTTTTGTAAAAAGTTCTTTCGTAAGCGTTTGTTTGTTTACGTTTTGATGCGAATTTTGAAGGCTCGAAACAAAGAAACGGAAGTTTTACAATGTATCCGTGGTGGAGAAAGGCGTGAAGGTTTTAGATTTGCTGCGTGATGGTTTTCCGCTAGATTTTTTTTCTCTTCCCGACTGGACGCGTTTGCATATTGACCTGACTCACCCCCAATTCCATTTATTCCGGAAGATCTCAAATTACAGCCTCGTGAGCGTACGAAAACAAAAGTACGATAAGTTATCATGAAGTTTTTTTTTTAAATCGAGATCTATCTTTCATCATAACATTGCCAGGAAATGTTGAAATTCATGGTATTTATCGCCAGTTTGACATTTACTACACACGCATGGCGAACCACATGAAAACGTACACCGGCTCCGACGCATAACTTCCATGTACATGTACAACTTCCATTTACATATACTGTACTTTGTCGGTACGCGAGTACCAGGCCGTTGGACGCAGTGTACCGGTACGTGGGTGGATCGGTTTTCACGTCATCAAAATACATACATGTACATGTAGATCTTGCTGGGTAGAAGTGCCTAAAATAACTCAGGAAAGTCGAATAACAAATCTAGCTAGATAAAAGTGATTGTGCTGTGTAGTTCTCGAGATTCTCGCCTGTTGTATACAGTGTCTCATTTTTCTAGGAATACTTCTAAAATTGAGAAATTTCGTGGAAAAAAAGACCAATTGGTCGATTGAAAGTGGAAATATTTTAGTAACCACCTCTCTTAGTAACCACTTTGAGGCTAAATTTCATATTCATGTAGCATTTCTTTTCATGATTCTGTAGTGTTGTTTATTCGGTTCAAGTCTTCTAGAGCACATACAAAGAGTTTCAACGTGATCGTTTGTTAACTTAGTTCAAACGAAGTCTTCAAAATGAGAAGGCTCAACAGAGGACTGGGAAGTTGCTAAGGACAATTCCGTGTGGTTAAGGTTCACGAGGGTCCAGTAAAAAACCGCCGCGCTCGGTCTAAGTGGTTAATTTCCCGAAGTGGAATGGCAGTGAAACATACGTGCACGGAGCACAGTCACTATCGCTCTCAAGGGCACTTGGTATCCGGTGACGTCATTAAGCCCCGCCCTCGCCACTGACGCAAATATTTCGCTCCGAGTGTCCAGTCAGTCAAGTTGCTTTGCTCTGCCACCATTCGTTTGTGGTTTAACCTCCGGTCAACATCTCTCCTGGAACTTTTCGAATCAGTCACCCTAACGGTAAGTTAAAATTAAGGCCTACATGTGTTAACTTTGTGTTTTCTTGACATGTTGCCAGTCCACACCGCGGTTGAAAGCTTCAAGTTCCCTCCCCTTGCCCCCTTCAGTAATGCGACAATGGAGCTGCTTTTGTAAATAAGAACTCGATCGATCGCCTTTCAGTGAAGAGAGAACGACAGAATCGGTCAGGAGAGACGTGCGAGGGTAAAATGTTGCTTATCGACATGTCAAGTGCGCACCTGCAGACTCCGGGCCAATATTCATGTGATATCCGCAAGAGGAAACAACTTTTCTCGTCCTTACTTCAGAAGGGATATGGGCTTAATTGATGGGAAAATTACATACGTAGGAAGACACCCAAAGGCCGTTTGTGTCCCATACTCGTGAAGGGTGGGGCAGATCTTGGAGTGGAGCCATAATGTACACGTATAGAGTGAGTGGCGACATGAGTCGCAATTTTTGGAAACCAACTGAAATGTATGCATCAGTGCACACGCACCATTGCTACACAATAGCCACACGCTCTACTGTACGCATAATGAAAAGGCCATTTTGTTTCCAAACTCTGAAGCTGACGCAGCTGTCCAATTATAGAGCTCTGTCTTGGAGTACCTCAATCGCTGCACTTTATGATCCCATGCCACGCACCAAACTCCCAGATACGGCCAGCCTTGGAAGCGAGACCCCTGCGCATAATCACAGAATCTCGTGTTTCGTCCAAGATTTCGATTTTTTAAAATGCCACTGTAACCAACAACGATTGTTGTGCGTGTACATGCGCTGTGCAGTCTAACGTTCATTTTACAATTTCCAAATTTCAGAGTGCACCCGTTTGATCGAATTATTTCTCTCCTTGTTTAGAAACAATCAGTAGGCCTACATAACGCAAGTATCACCAGAATTCAGAGTGTAAGTTGTGATATTGCACCCCCTCTCGTGAGAAAAGTAATCATTGACTTTCCTGGGTTGTTCCGGTCGATTTGTAAAATACTATGCATCGCCAAGCGGTCGCTTCTGGAGTGTATTGGGCAAATAGAAATGAACAATTGGGCTTTGTGGGGAGGTTATGACAAATACACACTGTTGGCTCTTGTTCAACAGCAGAAATCCGGGTTTACAAGCGGTGAAATACTATAACCACCTTGCCCGAATGCCTTTTATGGCCGGCTAAACTGTTCCAAGTGGTCATAAAGGTGTAGCGTGAGTCAAGTCCGACTGGTGAGCCAATCTGATAAGCACAACATTCCCCAAGCATTGCCACCAATCACTTAGCAGAAAATGTTACCAGCTAAAATATAATATACGTGCATTTCCTATACTTGTGCTTGGATGATATTTTGTTAACAATTTATTGAGCTAATAATTATAGGCAAACACTTTTTCAAGATGGCGTTCTCTACTTTGAAATTACCGCTTTACAGGCAAAAAAGGAGCATTCCAAAAAGTTGCCCATTTCTACATCATAACAATTATTAGTTCAAAGAAACTCATATTGTTTACGAAAAACCTGCATAAATTCATTATGCTTTTACTACAATTTTCACAATTACTCCTATCTGGAAAAATTCCATGTTACCGGCATAAAATTGTTCAAAGAAAAGAAAAGAAATAAAATGTCGTTGTAATACGGCTACTCTGGACAACGGCCAAAGTACAGCCTGTTGCCTGCAAGCCAGGCCAATTATGGTAGTCAATTTTCTATTCTATAAAATGGAGTCCTACATAATTATGAATTTTACTATCAGAAACGTATTGTCTCGCTGCATAGAAACGAAACCATTGTAGACACTGAAGATCTTTAATAATTTGAAACACTGATTTAAAAATCATTGCCGATTTTTCACATTAGTTGGGTGTGATCAGTGTATATGGAACCATGAAGTGGAATTATTGGAGATATTGAAGGAACGAACTCTGAATTCCTTCCTTGTCATCTCATTAACATCGGGGATGGACCAGTCAAATGGATCCGACCTAGATCAATGTTTTTGTCCAGAACTTGTGCATCGGCCATCTTCAGAAACGATTATTATCGTGGATATATCTTCCTAATGCAAGTCTTCTCTTACATCGCGCTGAAATGAACTTTAGACAATGGTTTCCTGTCTTATTTCTCCCCTCGTGAGGCCCTTGGGTTGTCATCACAGCAGAACGGTTTAGGTTTTTGTTGTTTCGGTGGCCATTGCTCGTCTTGACCTGGGTCAGGTGGCTGGTATCCGTCGCCGAGGGCGCAGGACTCATTAAAAGACACGCCTGTCCGATGAGAGATAGGCTTGGTAACAAATTTAGACACCTCCGGCCCATGTGACCTGGCTTGACCTGTTGATTGCTGGCATCAACGCGCACCAAAACCACGGACTAATTTCTGTCCGAAAAAAGTGACGATGTTTGACCTTTAACAGGGTCAATTGTAGTACCGTTGGTCGGGCAATTGTTTCCTGAACTTCGTTCTAAAACGCATGCGTTGACAGTTGAGCTGAAGGTCAGCTGCACGGAGACCTAAGCGTGTTTCTGCTCTGTGACATGCTTCTGTTAAATGGATTTAATGTGGTGATCACAGGTTTGTCTAGATCTACAAATATGATAAAAACACACTTAAAATTAACCCTTTTTCAATCATAAAAAGTAGTTATGAATGAGGGCTTACGGATGATTGCATACTTTGTTGATGGCATTCCGATTTTCATTGAGGCAAAACTTCCTCAATTTCGAGAAGTTGTTCCAAGAAGCATTTAAATGCCTTGATTTAGGCTACTTGAGTGGACTCCATGCCTCTTTATTTAAGGTAATCATACATAGTGTTCCTTTAAAAATAAATGAAAACCCGATTTGCCCTTGTGATGAAACTTTTGTCCAACTCTGATTGGTCACGGTGAAATGATCCTTGCTCCAGGTTGAATAAAGAACCTTGCAGCTGTCTTTCGTAATAGGAGCAGAAGACTGCGAGACATGTCATGTTTATGTCCGAAAACGCGTCATGATTATGTAGTTGGTGAGACAGGACGTTGGATTTTATCTTGTCACGTTTTACACGGCGACATTCCATCACACCAGAACAACAGCCTGCATAAAGCGTGTGTACGCTGACGATCCACTGCTCACGTACGTACATGTACAGTGGTACAGTGCACCCGGATTTGCCTACCACATATGTGCCCATAAACTGAATTCCATTAAATACGTTCTTTTCCATGAACACATTGTTGTCTAAGGAGTCATGCGCTTTAGGCTCGATCAGTAGGTCATTACACTACAGTATTCCTTGCCGATTTGTCCATAAAATTAAAAATAGAAGACAGCTCATCCTGTTTTTCCCAGAATCCAAACCCGAAGTGCGCCTTGCTCACTATATGCAACTTAGAAGCTAGTTGAAAAGAACTTTTAACATGAATTAAGTAACGAATTCCCACTCCTACTAAATTTAAACTTTTTGTTTCTGAATATGTGTTTTTACTCCAATGAGGTGTATGTTTCTGACGAGTTTTTCCCCAAATCCACGGTCACGTCACGGCTCGTTGAAACGACTGTGCCGGTGAAACGATTTTGTTTATGCACACACCAATGACGCATGCATAGCTATTGTGTGGTGCCCATGGCGTTATGCATCATTACCACAGCAGCGTGTCGTGGCTCCCGACCAGTGACGGCGTCTGGCATATGAGTAGAATAAGTGTTGTGTAGTGTTGGCCATAAAACACGATGAGAACTGTAAAGTAGCTGACTGGCATTCAGTTGTGTGTTGCAGCCATTTTCTTTGCCTTTAATAACATCAGTGCCATTGTAATCACCTCCAACCAGATTATCTTTGGGCGTGTAGTAATTTGACAATGCATTTGACCCCTCCTTTTCAACCTGTGTGTCGAAACCAGCAAATTGATTTTAATTGGTCTAATGCCGCCTCACTAGGATTGAGTTTCCATCGGTCTGCCTCGTGCTTTTGTCACGGTAATACTCAAGGCTGTGCTATCTACTTGTGCGCTGGCCGTATAACAATAGACACTGCAAGGCTTAAACAGGGTGCGCGCGCATGCTCCTGCCAGAGGTCTCGAAGACTCAATATAGGTACGCGTAGTTTTATTACCAGCATGGACTTGTGTAGATCGTTTATATTGATGAGTTGGGGGGGGGGAGTTAGGGATTGTCTGAAAGCGAGGCTGTAAATGGTGAATAGTGACACACCCAGCTTGGCATTTTGTTATGACAGCGGGGTTGCCGTTGATGCGTGCACGCGGTGACACTGTTGGGCCTCAGTGCTTGTGGGTATCACCGTGTACGTATCCGCGCAAGCGTGAATCATTCTGCGTGTGGAGTCGCGAGAGCACGGACCTCATTTCTTTGCATTTTCTGTTTCCAATCCATTGAAATCCTGACGAAATATCATTCATCGACAAAGCTTGCCACTGAACGGTAAGGCGAGTATAACCATCTTTGTACGCTTGTCTCTTTTGATTTTTCCTTGCAACATGGCATGAATGTATTGTTGAGTTGTTTCAATCCTGGAGGAAGGAAAGACGTTTAGACTTTCTTTCTGATCCAGATGTCAAGGAAGGGACAAAAAGCTCAAAACGATACAAGCAGCGAAATTTGTTTCGTTTTAAGAGTTGTGATGGTATCTACCATATCAAGCAGCGCAAACGTTGAAATGACCAGCGAGTTATGTTGCTTAAGCAAGTTGTCTAATCTAAAAAAAAAAGGAAAGAATTAATCCCTATGAAAGATGTAACGCTACATTCTTTTCCACAGTTAGTAATCATCAGTAACTTAAGTTAAATCAGTTTTGCTTCAACGAAAATATTGCAGTGCTTCATGTAAGCCTTCTGACTGCTACATTGTAATCTAGAGAGAGCCGTCGCAGGCCAACGGTGATACAGGTTGTCTGTATGTCCCGAACATGTGCTATAAAGACCACTGACACAGACTGACTTATGGGTCACTCTCGCTGTCGTGTATATGTAATGCAGCGCACCGGCCAACACATACTGTGGCTTGGATCTAGGAAA